TCACAAAAATTAATTGGTTTTCGCATTTTGCACCACGAGGCCTTGAAGCGTTTGGAGATTCATGCCTTGGTGAGCTCTGTCGTCACAGTGGTATCGGCCCCCAATTTGGTGTGTTTTAAATTCGGCGGCAATGGACGATTCTGTCACACATCTTTGGTCGATGTGCCTTGCCTGACCCAAGTTCTCTTGGGACCGAGCTATGCAACTCATGTATTGGATGAAGAAAGTTCCCCCGATATGAAATTTGACCTCCTTCATCAAGTCCTTCATGACTCCATTGCGCGCCGATTGAAAGAATTGACATTGGACTTCTCCGATAATCTATGGTGGGGCTCTTGTTTCCGCAAACAAGAGCGGATCGAAACATTACTTGACACCCTTACGCACTTGAACTTGATCGTGCCCGTGCGCTCCCGTAATTTCCCCAAGAGATACGCTCCGTATGATATATCTGAGTTGGAGAAAACGGCATCGCCCGCATTTCATAAATTTGTACCCAAGTTGGAGTGGAGGGAGGAATGTCATAAAGAGATTTGGTTTTCGGATGAGAATGTGGCAGATGTTTGTATGCATGAAGAGGTTGTTAAAAGGTGGATCTTCAATAACAACAATGGTGGTCTATTTACTATCAAATGGCGCGGTGTTTCACTTTAGTGCCCTTTTGTTGGTTTTTGTTGTTGTTGATGTTGTTGTTTTTGGATGTCAATACTGTTTTTAGTTATTATTATTTATTAGCATCAGGCAAAGAAATAACTTATTTCTCATGCTATATTAGAGAGTGTTATTCAAAGTCTATCCTTTTATTATTTTATAAGACTTTTCATGTCTTGTGCTCTAAAATGTAGTTTTGCAATGTAAAATATCTATTATTTCACAAAATCTTTCTGGTTTTGACTTTGGAGAAAATAGAGAAAGTGTAATTTTGGTTACTTTCTAATTTTGCCCCTGATGTGATGGGAAAAAGTAAGATTTGATAGTTTTGTTATTAGTGAAAAAGTATGATGTGATAAGTAGGGTATTAAAAAGTAGGGTTAAAAGTGGTTTTTTAATAGAAAATGGTTTTTTTTGGAGAAAACGACATCACCTGCATTTCATAAATTTGTACCCAAGTTAGAGTGGAGGGAGGAATGCCATAAAGAGATTTGGTTTTTCGATGTGAATGTGAGAGATATTTGTATGCATGAAAAGGTTGTTAAAAAGTGGATCTTCAATAACAACAATGGTGGGCTATTCACTATCAAATGGCGCGGTGTTTCAATTTAGTGCCCTTTTGTTTGTTTTTGTTGTTGTTGTTGTTGATGTTGTTGTACGTCAATACTATTTTTAGTTATTATTACTCCGTATTTATTAGAATCGGGAAAAGAAATATAGCTTTAACGCCATCAACCATAAAATGGTTGTTACATGAGTTACAAGGATAATATATATAGTTTTTTTCCTTCTTTTAAATGTTTTTTGCGAAATGAATAAACTCTTCCAAACAGAACTAAACTCAGGTGATGTACATGACATATGAATCCAACTTTTATCCATCATATGAATTGCTAAGCAAGAAAGAAGAGCAAATGAATTATACATGCAAAACAATGCACAACAAAATTATTAACACTCATTTGATATATACACGCAAACATATAAGCAATGCAGACAACACAATATTTTATTTTTTATGATGGTCCGGCAGCACTTCCTCATTATCCGGCAGCACCTCTTCCTTATACAAATGATCCTTCTTTACACCATCCTAACCCATTGGTTCTCCAAGTGCACGATGTAACGTAATTACATATGCACCCGAAAACACATTTAGGAAACGTCAAAC